ATCTTCATCACACTCACAGCTCAACCTGGCTTCCACATCAGGAGTATTGAAATATGAATGACTATGTAGATCTTGCTGAAAGTGACTCTGATGATGATAAATTGTAAAACTTTTATAAAGAAGATGTTTACATGTAATAAACTGCTAAAAATGATATCAGAATAAATCCCGATGATAAGGCAATAAGCCAGTAATTTTAGTTTTATTTTAGCTAATTTTTTGTAAAAGTTTTACTATGAGCAATGTGTGTATCAAACTTTTTGCTCCGCCCCATACAGTATATTATTTGGACGCAAGCACATACTAATACTAGAAGTGCAATGTGCGACAATAAATAATCTATTTATTATAATAAATATTAAAAATAATAGGCACCCCGCGCTCTCCGACTAGTACCTCAGCCAAAAAGTCCCAGATAATGTTTATAGGTAATTTTAATAACTGTAATAGTGATGAATTAGTTCCAAACGTACCGTGAACTACTGGTTCATAGGGGTAATTGTATAGCAAGCATCGCCATTCTAAAAATATAATCTCAGTCATGAAAGATGTTATAGACAATATTTACTCAGCCACAAGAATTGTATCTCATAAGGATAACTATAAGCAGTTCAACTAGACCTACAAATAGTAGCAGGCTCTTCGCAGTTTTCATCCACGCGTGGTGACTTTCAAGAAAATCCTGAATAGTAACTTTACGGAGCAGTTGTTCTTTTTTTCTTCGGCATCACGGAGCAGTTGTTCTTTTTCTTCTTTGTTTTTACAGAGCAGTAATAGGTTTGGGTGCACTTTAGAGTATCGATTGCTGGGTTTAAAATAGTGTTCCCAACAGTATTTGTTGGAATTAGAAACTTCGTTGTCGCAGTCGGGGGCTAAACAAGACATGGTGAACAGCAAATAGATACGCTGAAGGTAAGTAAGTACATTTATAAAGCGCTGCACCAACCCCATGCATGAACATTAAATCCAGACAATTCGCTGGCGAGCAATAATAATATGGGTTAGTAAACGTAAACATTAAATTATAATAATTAACTGTTTACTGATACGTTGCTATTGCAGAACCAGGAGTAAACGTAAATAATAATAACAATTTACTAATGCGCAATTTACTAATACGTTACCTATTAATCAGCTGCTGACGAGTCTGAGGGCCAGTAAACATAATATATTATATAAAATAATGATTGTTACAGTCTTAACCAAATCAATCAGTGCAGTCATTAATAATTTGGCCAACGCGGACATGTCGGATGAATTGCTTCTAACATTATTGCAATTTATGGTTAGTGAACCCTTTAGGCAAAAACTACGTAAACTTGCATTTAGGCTTCTTCAACTCGTAAGCGCGCTAGCAAATTTTTGTGGAATTGTCATTTTAATCTGGAGCGCATTACTCCCTCCATCTAAGGCGTTTGCTATTAGATCTATGGATAAAGATTTTTGTTAATTTATGGTCCGAAAAGTCCTGTCGGTGCAACGGTTATTGATAATAACCATCATTTTAACGATATTCGGTTTCAATGTTTTAGTACAAATCAAATTTTGTGTTGTATTGAGATTATAATTAGGCAAATGGTTAAATTAAGAAATTTTTTTCAAGCAATTATTTTTTGACAGAACAATGAACTTTTTCTAATGGAATACAATGCAATCTCACATAATGCAGATAAAAAATTTTCGGCGTTCCCTGAGGAATAGTACGAGTACAATACAAAATGTAACCATTCGGAATAACTTGGCTCCGAATGAAGTACTATGTACAATAGTCAAAAACAGGGGTACATAATAATAAATAAGACATATGTGCATAAAAAATTTTCGGCGTTTCCTGAGGAATAATTTTTTGTGTATGCGGAATGTACTCAGGAAACGCCGAAAATTTTTTATGCAAGTTATTCCATGTAAGAATGTTCCAAATCTATTCCACTTCTCATCGGGGCCAAGTAAGAATGTACAAATCCAGCCCCAGTCCAAATTCTGTATGCAGAGTTAAAATATGTAATGAATGGATTGTTTTAGCTTTAAGCAGTATTAAACAATATTTCACTATAGCAACCCAAATGAGATGGTGCATATATTTTTTTATTCGGGATAAGCTCCTTTTATTCACTGAGAAAAACGTGCAGATAAAAAAATGACACAAATTTGGAAAATGGGGGTATCTCGCATCAATTCATATAAAAATTTAACTATTAAAATAATTCAACAATGCTGTATAAGCTCCGAAAAATTTTTTTAACTTAATAATAAATTTAAACAATATTTCACTATAGCACAATATTTCATTTGCAAATTTACACGTAAAGAAATATACCCGGACATTTTTAGCAATATCCCTATCAAGATGTTCAACAATGAGCACGAAGGTGTCCCTCGTTGTACGACGTAAGGTAACTGCCTGAAATACAGGAAACAAAAAAGAAATAACAATTATAATTCCAAAAAAAACTCTGAAAATTTGGAATAGCTTTAAAGTTTTTTTCCATTGTTGTCGAAATACTGCTGGCTGCTCGCGGTTTAGCTGCTCCGGGTCTGGCTCGAGGTCTGGCTGCTTAAATAGACTGTCGAATGTACGCACAAATTCTTTGCACGAAACGTTTTCGAAAATTTCCGCAAGCGCCTTACATAATAAAGCAGCGTTCGTTGGCGCGTTATCATCAATACTTCTTGAGCGTGGCGGCGTCTCCTGGATATGACCGGAAGCTGCTTCTGTTGTTGGTTGATAGATTATGGTTGGACATTACAACAAAAAACTTATTGTGTTGAAAAATAGCGCCTTATTATTACAAACTCTGGATGACAAAAAAATTCATGGAATGTGATCCAGAAAGTCTCATAAAGGACTTTATGTAGACTATGAGAAGTTTGCGCGGTTGTCGCCAAGAGAGAAAGCAGGCTTTGTATTTGTCTTATGGGTACTTACGCGTCGTAATGAAAAGTGTCGTAATAAGATTTATCTAATAAGCAGACATTTGGGACATACGGTGTCAACATAATATTTTTTACTGACGATAGACACGCATTTTCTTTTCCGGAAGATTTTGATTCACCAGCAGAAGTCAGTGAAAGGCAACAGTTTATTGCAATACAACCAATATCACCGTATAACATGTTTACAATTAAACAGTGACTGCGCTTACACCTCAGAGAAAAAAAAAACTGAAACAGTTTGTCGACAATCTCGTCGCAATAGTGGTTTGAACGCGTTTATTTTATATGTTCTCCATACAAGCGAAAATTTTTGCTTATGGTTTAGGGCTGAAACTAAAGAGGAAACTATCACTTTGATAAAAATGGAAGACTCAAATAATACAATTTTATGAAAACCAGCTCTTTCTTATAATACAAGACACTTGTTTTTTTGTTTATTAGTTTTATAGAATTCTCACTCCTCGTGATTTATCTTAGTAAAACGCCTTCATACATAATAATAATTTGACTCGTCTCATACCGTTACTCTCAAGAGACATAATTTACGTATTATTTGTAAATATATGTGTACATATAATGATAATAAACTATTGCAAAAATCTATTACTATACTAACAGGTCAATTTCCGTATTGTTAGTTATTAATAATGTGTATTCAAAAAAGACTGCAGCCTCATTCCATTTAGCTTCTAGTTTGTTTAAACGAACTTCATATCGTACGAGTAACCCAGGTATGATTTTTACTGTTTTCAGTTGGTTATTTTTAAACTCGTGTTTACAACAATTTTTGAGACAACAGAGATTAATGATTTTGATAAATCCAGGATAATAAAATAAGGGCGCAACATTATTGTTATCTTCTTTTTCAACTTCATCTTCTTTAGCTTTAATTTCTAAGCGTTCTTCTTCGTTCAGAAATTGTCGTAACGTAGACAGTGAGGTTAATTTTGCAAACGGATTGGCCCATAAATAGGTCATGGCGTGGGTACCATTGTTTATTTACTAGTGTAATCAAAAATATTTTACTAACAAAGCCCATATTGTCACCTAAACGCACTTTTATCTAATTTGACAATACAATATAACTATTATCTCACTAACAATTGGTAATTTGAACCGTTATTAACAACTGGTACAACGCAGTGACTAGAAGTATTTATTGTCCTTTATCAGCATTGGCTATAGTCTGTCGAAATGGATTTCCAAGAACAAGAACAACTCTGAGAAAAACTTATCCAAGACTTGGTCATAACAATACAAGATAAATATAACAAGACTTCACTTGACGTCTTTGATAAAGAATTTGAAGGTCTCCTTAGTAACCAATACGTAAATTTGCACGTTTTTAACAATTATGGATCTGTAAAAAAAATATTTTTTACCCTATTGGCGCTCCATCATCCGAACAAGGTTAAATATAACATCAACGTTTTTGATCAAGATAGACTGTGGTTTTATTTCTATACAAGTAAAAAGGAAGGTTTTTTTTTGACCCAAAAAATAGAGAAAATTACCCATTAGTATCGAATCGTAATTGGGTGATAAATAATGCTGCCAACTAAATTATAAAAACTTGCATCAAAATTAGCTTGGCTTTATTTTCAGTAATATACGCGTTCTATATTATGTACAGTATATTACCTTAGATGATATCAATATTTATAATTAGCACGCAGATGATTCTATTCTAATAAATGCATGGCATGTTTTCACTCACAAATTTCTTCTGATGTATGATGAAGATCTTTCAATGCCATCAGAATCTTTAAAACTTCTCAAACTGACTTTCCTTCATAAGGACTAATGTTTAGATTGAGATCTTGCATTGAGAAGATTTGATCCATAACTTTCATTCTGAAATTATAGAAATGCTGTCAGTATTAGTTAGTCACCCCAAAAATGATAAGCAGTATTATGTAGTATTAGTATGGATAACTTTACTTACAAATACCCGTGAGAAATATAGTATTTGTTTGTATTTTGCTCTACTATCAAAGGAGAAGGGAAACAAAGCAGAAAATAATTTTGATGAAAGAAAGGATTCCATCACTCAACATATTTATATTTAGGGAATAAATGTAATCTAATATCCTTAATCCTAATAACCAAATACAATGTAGGATTAAAAAAGTGAATTATTGTTTACAATAAATAAAAATACATACTAATACCAATAACTTGAAAACTGAACACTTTGATTTGTGATGCAATTTCAACAGATAGATCAAGATGCTTGAGTAAGATGGCAGTTAAATTAATGATGTCTGTATGCAGGAATTTTTTTGTATCATCCATACTAATACAATGCTGTTTTGTATTTTGATGATAATGAATGTGGACCCATATTAAACAAGGCAAATGCACTGAAAGAAAATAATTTGCATCAGGTTTAATTCATTATCATGAGCAACAGATACACAGGTAATAGCAATATGATGCAGAGGCTGAGCAAGATAAGGCAACTTGCTGAAGGAGCAATGTAAATGGACAGGGTTGTTGGTGATCTCAGCAGCCCCAAACTATGCTTAAATCAAGTAAACAGAATGTTGGATAATATTAATATAGCAAAAAAACAAATAATAATAATGGTGGAATTACTACTACTACATGCTAATACTAATACTATTTTAAAATCAGTCTATTTATTTTGATAGTAATCATTATATAGTATTTGAGCAAGATTCCTAACTTTCACATCACTGTGCTTAACAAGGTTTTTCATAGTTTTACCAATTTCTTTGGTGCATACAACTATCAAATAATAATGTTATGCAATGTTAATATTGTTAGAATCTCATTCCAAATCTAAAATCATGATGTGTATAACTAGATTGCATCAAAATACCCACTCTGTTTATTCTCAGGAGTAATTAAAAATATTAGCGTAGTGATTCCAGACAACAATGTATTCTCATTTTTAGAAGTTAAAGAATGTTCAATAATCAATTCTACGCCATCATTGTCTATAATATGATCTCTTGTCTTCGGATCTAGTGAGCATATAAAAAAGTACCAAAAAAATCAGTTTGTTTTTTTTGCATGAACTTACCCATTCAATCTGGACACCTCTACATACCACATGCAAAATTACATAAACCACCAATGCCAAACTCTTTTATCTTCTCATCATCTTCAGTAAGAGCGTCAAGAAACAAGTCAACAATATTCAGATCATGTAACCACTGATAGTTTATGGGATCATAAGCAAAATTCGCTAAATTTGCTAACGTTTGATGTTTTGCTTCTTTTTGAATAAATTATTGAGAATAAAATAAAATGTTAACAAAACAAAAAATTCATTTGCGAAGAGCTTTTACCACTGATCAAAATCACAATAAACTACTTGCCTATATCTGTTGTATCTTCATATTCAGCCAACAATTTTTGCAAATACTCTAGCCTATTATTATTAGTAATCAAAGTCAATAAGAAAAAGCAAAAACTAAATCTGTTGAATAATAGCTGCCTATCCAACCATACAAACCTTGATGTACCGTATTTCCCTACCCGCTTTTTCAGTTGGGCGTGTGTCGAAAATGACATTGATGAGTTTCGGATATCTCCTGGAATACGGGGGCCATTTGATTGTACGACATGTATCAAGTGACCTTAGGCGGAACTAGGTTCGGGTAAACCATCAGCATAAATCCTTGCTACCGTTTGCGTTTTTCTGCGCTAGATCTTGATCTATGAGTCGATGAAATCGTCAGCGGGGAGATGTCTCGTTTATCTTTAAGCCATGATTAATGAAATGTTGATCGCTCACCTTGATGACAATGAGCAATGATAATTGATGTGTGCAAATTACACTGCGTGCGAGTCACACTTATATTCTTGTATAACGGTATTGGACCGTTGTGTAACGTTCTCTATAAAAAGAATTTTGCCATCTGAGGTTTCGCCCAGCTCGAGCAGATTTCATTTGCTTCTTTCAAGGTTCACACAATCACAACAGATTGGTGCTCTCCAGAGTTGTATAAACATCTCATCTATTTTCAAAAGATTCTTTTTCTAAATGTCACGAGAGCCATCAAAACTCCAGATCATGAAATATGGCGCCATCACAGGTGGAGGTATTGGGTTATGTTTGGGACTTGTTTATGGCACTTACGCAATAATTCGGTGAGCTTAATTTATTCTTACAGGAAAAAGTCTCCAAAATAGCAGTGGTGAATCTTCTAACTTTTAAATTTTTGTCGGTCTCTTATCCAATTCTGTTGACGACGTACTACATTTTCTTTCTTTCTTTCTTTCTTTCTTTCTTCCCATATTATATAAGCCAAGGTCCTGGTCCCCGTGGCGCACTATATACACTAAGACAGTACATGTTAACTTCAGCAGGATCATTCGCTCTATTTCTATCCATTGGTGCTGTAATTCGAAGTGAAGGACGAATGATCGATACAAACGCCAACGGTACTAACACTGGTGCGATTAGAAACGACCAGCGGGAATGGAAGAGGATACAGATCGAAGTCAAGGAAAAGCCACGAGATCAGGAGATCAAGAAAAAGAGGTTATTGGACATGCTTACAGAAAGTGGAAGAATGAATTTCAGGAATAATCAAAACAAGACTACTTAAGATGGGAATTAATAGTAAACTCAGTCAGCCATCACCTCTATAGAACCAGATACTGGTGCGCCAAAGAACACTGATATCGCTCTAGCACGTAATGCGACTCTATAAGCGGGCTCGATATTTTTTTAATGACGTCGAAATTCACAGTGTTTACGCGTCTCGAGATGTAAGATTTAAAAAACAAATATCGAATTTGAACAATAAAGAAAGGTTAACTTGCCCTGTTAAACCAGTAGTTCTAGGTTTCAAATGGTATTTCCTGAGAATTCATAATAATATTAGAACAATGAACGTTAGTTATACTGAGAAGAAATTATTCCATGCGTCGTGCATTTTAATCATTACAACTATGGAGGAAGACGTACTTTGGCAGTTGGTGGTGTTTTAGTAGGAAAGCACAGACTATAATAATAATAATAATAGCAGCCTAACAGCTTGCTTGTCTTGCATTTATCAATGATCTCAGATGTTAAAAAAGTTATTTTAATTTGCTATTCCAAGTCATACTGCAACAACGTAAAGGTGCAGATTTAGAACGTAATTGTCTAAAGTCTTACCGTTGTTAAAAAATGTTAGTTTGAGTCAACTACAACCTTTTTGTCGGCATAATTCATTAGTAAGAACAAACTTGTCTAAGTACTATTACTATGATACTTAAACTATCTTTTTAGTTTTAACCCTATTATGTATCAGAACGAAGCCAAGAAGATATGCGTTTACATTTGCACGTAAGAAAATTAATATTATCGCGAGCAATTTCCCGCTGCTATCGATCACTTGAACAAAAAAATTAAAATTATACGCGTAAATTGTCAGATGTGATAACTAGCTAAGATCTTTTTACTGCGTTATAGTTATCCTCTCAGCATAATGGGGTGTCAGAAGCGGTGATACTAATAGTGACGAATGTTCTTTAATTTGTACACTATTGATTGCTCTTCTTTTTCTTTTGTCGGAGGACGGGTAAGGATCTGGATCAGACAGCGGGTGGTTATCGGCGAAGCCTCTCTTACGCAGCCCGGATCCGATTATAGTAAAAAAAAATAATGAAAACTCGGGAGGCAAAACGTTGAAGAAAAGAAGTTAAAGAAAACAAATTATCACAAATTATTGATATAAATATGATGTACAATATAAATCCAAATTTAACTTGCACTGAAAAAAAAATTATTAAATTAGCAGATTTTTATTCGCTTTAAAAAACACGGGACGCTACTTCAGGTGATCTGCAATATTGATCACGTTAATTTGTTCGCGCCTCGACATGTGAAGAATGGTTTTTCTTCTACGCACGATATATTCTAGCATGAGATTTATGCTGCGCAAGGAAACACGATTACCAAACTACTCAGAGAGTAAACTGATTGGCTCTTTTATTGTTTGCACTGAATTTACTTTGTCTCACCTTATGATTCCTAATTAGATGTGGGAGAGTTTTATGCAAAATGACTATATATAAATGAGATTTAGCACTTTATTCTTATATTTTGTTCCCGTAACGAGGTAACGACTTTATGAACGTTCTGCAAATTATGTTCTCATTCCTCACAGATAGTTTTTTACGTAAAGAGAAAACCATTGATTACTTCTATGATAAAACGTTCTTTAAAGGGGTGATATCTTTAATAGACGTACATTCTCATTCAAATAATTATTGCATTCTAGCTCATTTCAGAAATGTCATCCACGTCATCAGAAATCCATGAACGATCCAACTTTGAAGAACTTCAAGGCGACCTCTTCATCGCCTCTCCACCAACCAACTCTCTCGCTCATTGCATCTCTGCAGACCTTAAGATGGAGAGAGGAATAGCCGTTTTGTTCAAATCGAAATTCGGGGGTGTATCCGAACTTCAAGAACAGTCCAAACGCGTTGGAGAAGTAGCTTACCTTGTTCGTGATGGAAAATACATATTCTACTTGATTACGAAGGAGGAATATTTCCACAAACCCACGCATGAGGACTTTGAGAGGGCTGTGTCAGACTTGAGAAGATTGTGCGATGAGTTGGGCGTTTCGGGGTTGAGCATGCCAAGGATCGGTGCTGGTTTAGACAAATTGGATTTGGATTACGTTAAAAGCGTTGTTAGGAACGCCTTCGACGGATCTAATACGAAAGTCACCATGTTTTATTTGTAAAGTGGCTTGCCAAGTGGGAATAACTGGAACTGCTGTTGCAAATATGTGTCTCTCTACTCGATTATTAATAAAATGTAAACGTTGCTGTAATTGACCACATAATCCATATCTCATCTTTTACTTATCGTCCAGAGGTTTTCTCCCTTCACGGTTCTTAATTAATTAACGTCACTTGATTTTTCATTTTGGAAATGAATGAAGTTTTCACAAGTGTTAAGTGATCACAGATGGAAGCTACAGACAACTTGGGCGAACATTAAGGCGCAGAATTTTATCGTAAAAACTACTAGCACCGAGTCGTTCGATGTGACTGAACGAGTGGAAGTCAACTCACTGGGATTTACCACCTTTAGTCAAGTCTGTATGCTTACGGGGATTGACAACATATCACCTCATTAATAAATTTGACTCCCAGATGACAATTTCCCAGGCTTTTTTACATGCAATCATGTAAGCAAACATTCTAACCAAAGAACGAACCGTAAACATCATGTCTGCTTAATAATGGTTCATATTAAGTTTTACCAAACCTTAACTACTGATTCGGGAGACGTTTATTTTAAAAGAAGAATCTTAAACTGGGGAGATTGTTTGCTATGAAAGAATAACATGATAATCCTATCTTACTCAAGGAGCAAGCACCTAAAATGAAAATGACTAACGCCGCTCACTTATTAACTTGTGATTGTTTGTAGGAATACCTACTACTCCTAGCAGGGGATGATAAGATGGCTCTAAAGATCGCCGACTGGTCATAAGTGACAAGTTATGACAATTGCGTCACAGTGTAATTACGAAATACTGGAACAAATGGCTAGAAGATTAAGGGGGATGTGACTATAAACATGGTTATTTCAACAACCACTCTGTCAATAAGCGCAAGAGGATGAACGGATTGAGTGGACAATGTATGTAACTGGAGATGAATAGAATAATTGTGAATTTACGATTGGTTCAGAATCTATGCTAAAGAACGCATCATGGAATGTAAGACACGATGTTTATTAATATCTTTGGACAGCCCAACTCATTATTGTGTCTAATCGAGATTCTTCTGTTGAATAACTTACAAGTGGCTAGTATGCTACACGTGATGCGATAATGAGAGAGGATGAATGTGGGACCGAACGTATCTCAAGTCGGTAAAGTTTCTCTTTATGAAATTGCTATTCTTATAACCATTACGAAATGACACACATATGCCCGCATTTAGGTCTCCCTCCACAATGTAACTCGGAGTTGCGCCACCCCCTAATAAAACAACCCCTTAGCTTCTATTGACAGG